TACCAAAAAAAAAAAAAAAAAAGAAAAGAAAAACCTTTAAAAAAAGGGAAAAGGGGGGGGGGGCAATGGTTTTTAAAGGTAACCACTGCATTTTTTTTATACTTTCTTTTTTACCCTCTTTGCAATACCGAGGAAACACTTGAAGTCTCTGTGGCATATGACTTATGTCACTATAAAGAAGACAAATTTTTGGCATATGACGCAGAGTGTCATACGCAGACTTTGTTTATTTTATTGCTTCTAAATTTGTGTTTAATTGATACTGCTTAATAGATCCTGTTTAAGAAATCCTGCTTAAGAAATCCTGCTTAAGAGATCCTGCTTAAGAAATCCTGCTTAAGAAATCCTGCTTAAGAGATCCTGCTTAAGAGATCCTGCTTAAGAGATCCTGCTTAAGAGATCCTGCTTAAGAGATCCTGCTTAAGAAATCCTGCTTAAGAAATCCTGCTTAAGAGATCCTGCTTAAGAAATCCTGCTTAAGAAATCCTGCTTAAGAGATCCTGCTTAAGAGATCCTGCTTAAGAGATCCTGTTTAAGAGATCCTGCTTAAGAGATCCTGCTTAAGAGATCCTGCTTAAGAGATCCTGCTTAAGAGATCCTGCTTAAGAGATCCTGCTTAAGAGACATAACTTTTACAGCAAGGAAAAAGAAATAGCAAGCACACAAACATTTCAAGTGCCGTTTTTTGACGGACATCCAACGTTTTTTTTACGGACATTTAACGTTTTTTTACGGACATCCAAAGTATTTTACGTACATCCAACGATTTTACGGACATCCAAAGTTTTTACGGACAATTCATTTTATGTCAATTTTTTGCTGACTACCGATAAATGTCGGGACGTTTTGTGACACTAAACGAAAAGCTGAAATTAAATATTGCCACTAATATAACATTGAACTGTGAATCCAATATCAACAATAATATCATTATATTTATTGTTAATATAAAATATACTACCGCAACTTTCTTTAAAAACATTAATTTATCATTTTTTTTATTTTGTAAATGATGCCAAAAAAATTAAGAAATCTAATTATTTTAAAAAAAAAAAAATCTGTTATCAGTTTTTACAGTTCATTCCTATCAGTTCCACATAAAAAATTCACCTTGACATATTTTATAAGATTGAAAGCAGCAGTGTAAATCTAATTTTAGCACAATGCAACCACCCCTCATTTTGAGACCGTTTGTTACCAGCATTTGATCTATTGTATCATCAGTGACCAAACCGCAACAGTGCGGTCTGCACTTACTCAAACTTGTTCAGGGATATCTACGCCTACAGAAGAATCAGAATAGCCCCGTGTAAAGATAATCCATCCATGTGGCACGACAGCCCCATGTAGGGCTTTGGCCTTCCTCACCACATCCTTCCCTCCATCCATGTGGCAGGACAGCCCATGTAGGGCTTTGGCCTTCCTGACCCCATTCTTCCATTAATCCATGTGGCACGACAGCCCATGTTGGGCTTTGGCCTGCCTCACCACATCCTTCCATCTATCCCTGTGGCCCTGCAGCCCATGTAGGGCTTTGGCCTGCCTCACCACATCCTTCCAACTATCCCTGTGGCACGACAACCCCAATTGGGCTTTGGCCTACCTCACCACATCCCTCCACTCAGATCTAACTTATGCTTTTCTTTTCCATGCTTCGATTCCCAGCTGCTGTAGATCTTTTCCCACATCAACCCTTCATCTAAGCCTAAGTCTGCATTTGAGCCGTTTTCTTCTGGGATTTTGGTGGTGCCCACTCTTTACTACTGCTCTGTAATTTGTCATTCTTTTTAAGTGTCCCGCCTAGCGTAGCCTGCCCCCCTTTTTTTTTACTTCTGCTACGGGTGTGGGATCCTGCTATAGTAGGGTGACCAAATGTCCCGTTTTTTAACGATCGTACCCGGTGTCCCGAAAAAGTCTCTTGGGACGCCTAAATGCCCGTATTTAAAACCAAACACATTCCAAATCAATAAAACTTCCTAATTTATAACATAACTTCAAGTAATATTTTGGCTAACTATGTTTTTGTAGCCAGTTCCAGTAGTGATGTGGGCTCGCGTGATGGCTGCACTGTTCCGCCTCCACCACTCTGCCGACGCTGCGTAAAGACAGTGGCCCTGCTATAGATCTTATATGTATAGCGAAGACACGAGACTTGAAGTCGGGGGAGGGGGGGGAACCGAAACTGCGCAGAAGCCGATTTTGATTCCGCTACCGAAACGTGTATTGAAGTGAAGCGAAATTTAAAAGATTTTTAGGTATAAAAAAAGTTAAAATTAACATAGTTCAAGAAACAGTAACCGGCGGAGGCCCCCAAACCCCTCTTTAACTGTAGGGTATCCCCCTCCCCCAAACCCCTCTTCAACTTGAGGGTATCCCCCCTCCCACAAACAACCCTCCTTGGGTGTGTCCCGTTTTTTCCAGTTCGTGATTTGGTCACCTTATGATATAGTCAATACAATTCCTCGTTGATTCGTACTCTCCATCCTTATTCCCCCTCGATTATACTCAAGGTGATCACGAATTTCTTTCCAACCGGCTGTCAATTTTTTATTATTATATTTTGAATCGTACGGAACGATTAGTTATTGTTAAATATCCTAATGGATTAAGACAACATTTTAAGAGTATGAAGTTTCCATGAGTTATTCAATGCCCCCCCCCCCCTTTTTTTTTCCCTTTTGGAACTCTGGCTAATCGATTTTAGGATTCGGTTCTGTGAAAGTCTGTACAAATAGATGAAAGCGACAAAATAGAACAGCTGCCCTTACAACCCCCTCCCCCCTGCTCTTGGCATTGTGACGGTATGACCTTATTTTTCACAGTAACAATTCATAAATTATTTCACTTCCTGTAACCTTGGTTTTGGATAATCCGGCGATATCAATGACGATCACTTGAGTTTTTAACTTTTTTCTATTTCTTTCTTCTATTTTCACCTTTCCTGTCTGCTGAAGGTGGCTCTTAGCAGAAAGTTGATATCTTATCGCCCTGCCTTTCAAATCAAGCTTCCACATACCTTGTTCTACTATTTCCTTCACACAGTGTGAATGCAGCCCTTCATTTATTTTAATGACTCTATGAGATTTATGAAATCTTAATAAAAAACTAGTGCACTTCAAATTTAATTATACATAATTGTCTGAAAAAATACTATACAAATAATGGACATTGATTTTTCCTAATCAGAAAAAGCATTAAAAAACAACTAAATGTCCACAAACTGGTCTATTGAGGCCACTATCTCTCATTACAAGGAGCACAACTACTGAAAGGGGTGTATCATTAATTTTGACTAAGTTATGAAATATGGGAACGTACCCAGTAAAAATTTACGAACACTTAATAATCATAGACAAACAAAAACCCACTACACCAGCACCCAATGGACCAGCACCCAATACCCCAGCACCCAATACCCTAGCACCCACTACACAAGCACCTACTACACAAGCACCCACTACACCAGCATCCACTACACCAGCACCCACTACACCAGCACCCAATACACCCGCACCTTCTACACCAGCACCCACTACACAAGCACCCAATACACAAGCACCCACTACACCAGCAACCACTACACCTGCACCATCTACACCAAGAGCCAATACACAAGCACCCACTACACCAGAATCCAATACGCCAGCAACCACTACACCAGAATTAAATACACTAGCACCCAATACGCCAGCACCCAATACGCCAGCACCAACTACACCAGAAACCATTACACCAGCACCCACCAGCACCCACCACACCAGCAACCACTACACGAGCACCAATACACCAGCACCCAATATGCCAGCACCCAATACACCAGCATCCAAATACACCAGCACCTACTACACCAGCACCCTGTACACCAGCACCCACTACACCAGCACCCACTACACCAGCACCCAAAACACCAGCAACCAATATACCAGCACCCACGACACCAGCACCCACTACATCAGCACCCATTGCACCAGCATCCAATGCACCAGCATCCACTACACCAGCACCCACTACACCAGCACCCATTACATTAGCACCCAATACAACATCACCCAATGCACCATCACTCACTACACCATCACCCAATACACCAGCATCCAACCAATGGAGATATTTCAATATGACGTCACCATTTATTGGGTGCAGTAGTGGTGACGACACATGTCCATATTAATGACTCCAAAAGGAGTTGAAAAAGAAACGTGTCGTTACCGAGTTTCTTGAGCTGACGTCTTGTGAATATCATCGGACGGCAGCAAATTTAACATTGAGTTCCCATAAGACTCTGTGTTTGCCTATGCCCGATTTCTAAAGATTATTTAAACGACTGTAAAAAGAAGAGAGAAATGTTTGCTTAGCGGTTCCCAGTCAGATGTATTCAGCCTCATTGGTGGACAGGTTAAATATTTCATGTGGGTGAAATGTTGCAATGCTAACACAAATGTTGAAAAAGAAACCTTTTCAACAGTCAAGAAACAATTTATGTGCTTCAAATTTTACCTTAATAACATTGTTTGTAAAATTACGTAAGGAATATAGGTAATATTGTTAAAGCTTATAGTTGAGAGTGCTAAATTATGTACACTTGACAAAAGGAAATCCCCGTGGGGGGTGGGGTGGTGGTGTGTATTTTACGAGAACCGCCGTGGAAAATTAAAGGCGGATCTGGGGTGTGTTATAAAAGAATAAATCAAGCGAAAAAAACCCACTTGAGCTCCTGAAAGCTGTCAGTCAGTCAGCATCACTATTGCACTTTCATCCCCGTAAGGCCGACTCGCTTCCATCAAGCTTGGGTCGTAGTGTCATAAGACAAGGTCGTCGTGTCATGACAAGGTTGTACTGTCATAACACAAGCTCATAGATCTGCCATTAGTTCCCTGAACCTGGATGTTCCCAGACCATTGTGACTGCTGTATACTACTTTGATACAGATCTTTAAGGTTTGGAAATAACCTGCCGTTGTTAGAGGAACAAACAATGGCGCTTTCCAGAACGTTATTTCT